CCCTTCCCTCTCTCCACCTTCCTTCCCCCCCCCCCCCCCCCCCCCACCCACACACGGTGAAAACAGGGGAAGACGTATACTTATGATGCATTTTTTCTGTTTCTTTTATGATCCGCTGTCCTCAGATCATATATTCCTTCTCATTACTGGTATGAACAACTCGTTTTGAGTGAAACACAGAATAAAAAGTATTATTTCCAAGGTCGTTTTTTGGAATTGTTATGGAATGATTATTCTTGTTGGTGAACTTCCCACTAAAAATAGGATTGCTTCTCGTCTATTTTTTCATCTAATCTTGCATAGTTGTTAGCTATTCATTAGGTTGTATGGTATTTTGTGAAGAAACAGGGTTATAGATCACGAGTTAGTCGTTTCAACGATAGTCTGCTTTTTAGAAACGTTGCGGGTGTGAGGGAAGGCATGAGCTCGTCGCCAAAGCTGTCGGCGGCCGCCGAGGACTGCTTCGTCGCGGTCCAGAAGGCCATCCCCAAACATCTTGGCGGGGAGATTCTGAGCAAAGAAAAGTTGTCGAATGCGATGGTGCTGAATTTTAAAAGCGGCGGGAAATCCCAAGCGGAGGTGGCCGCCCTCCTTTTACGCGCTCTCACGAAAGTCTCCTGCGGGTCCGAAAAAGGCGTGGTGAAGCTGCCCACCGGGGAGGTCATCGTGGATGCGGCGGGAACGCTCCCGGTGCGCCCCTTTGCCAAGGTGGTGGCGATCCCAAACTTCAGTTTTGAGGCGCTTCCGGAAAACAAATCGAGTATTTTCCCCATCGCAGAGGCCACCTACATCCGATATCTGCGAAAACACTCCGATCTCGCCGTGTATGGGATCACAGAATTCCCGAAATGTATTCTTGCGGGTTGTACCTCTCGGCTTGATGTATGTATTGCCGGGTTTATTTTGTTTTCTTTGACCACCGTAGCGGAGGGGGAAAGGCTGCGAATCTTTGTCAAGTGCATCGACACGATCCTTGGGGAGATGTGTAGTGCCTCCTTCGCGACGAAGATTCTTCCCAAGAAGTGGGATCATCTCGACGAGCTGGAGCCATTTCAGATTGGCGGGCTGCTGGAGGATGCGCAGCTCGCGATCTCGGATTTCTGGGATCAGACCGCCAAGGATGAGCACGCCCGCGTGGAGGTGATGTTTCTAATGGCCTCCGTGGGATCCGATTTGGGCAATTATTATCGAAAAAAAGTCGCCGCCGCCGGTGGCGCCTTCCACTGCGAGCGCAAACTCATCGATCACGCCCTCAACGCCTTCGATGATTGGATGAACGCGTGTGTGAAGCTGACGACGATTGACTGGGGGGCGGAATGGAGGGGCAGGCGATACGAGGATGAACCCTTCCGGATGGTGCGGGATCGCCTGCACGCGATCGTAACGTTGCACGAGCTGGTTGCGGAGATGGAGAAGCTCCTGCTCTTGGAGCACCTGCAGAATTTCCGGACGGAGACGTTGTGGAATGTGTTTAGCGATCTCGACGTGTTCAGCGCCTCATCCGGGGTGGAAAAGCAGTGGAAGGTGTGTTTGAACGCCTTTTATCAGCGCCTCGACCCGATGGAGCACCGGTGCGCCGCGGCGTTGAAGAAATTCTTCACGGAGCACGGCGATCTCCCCCCGCAGGTGGTTTTAAACGCGTTTGAAAACTTCCGTGAGCTTATGAAACGGCCAATCATCGCGACCGAGCTTCTCTTCGAGCGGGATACGTTTCTGACGAAGATGAACGAACGGCTGCAGACGATTGTGATGGAGTTTCAGCGCCGTTCAGGAGGGGCAGAGGATGAAACGATCCTCGAGGATGAGGATCGGCGCTGTCAGACCGGACGTTTCATGCCGGGTGTGGTGAATAACGTGATCTGGCTGCGGCAGCTCCGACATCGCGTGGAGGAAATGCTCAAAACCAGCTCCTCCATTCTTTCGGATCTTCGCAGCACGAAGGATTTCGAGGAATCCGCGCGAAACCTTCTCGAGGAGATTGAGGATTATACGCAGGAGGTGTATCGTGATTGGGTTCGCGATGTGGAGGATCAGAGCCGCACCCTCACCCTCGATGCCGACGCTCCTCTTATCGGGATTAACGAGGAAGGGAAGGTGGAGGTGAACTATTCGGAGCGTTTGGTGCAGCTGATTAAGGAAGTGCGCATCTTCACCTCGCTTAATTACCGCGTTCCCGAGCGCGTGCAACAGATCGCGAAGAAAGGCCTCCAGTATTACTCCAAAGGCCTTTTGTTGAAGCAGATCGCGAACACTTACAATGGCATGACGGAGGATATCATCCCGAGCACCCAGGCGATGCTTTTGAAACCCGCGGTGAGTTTTGAGAAGGCGATCACCGCGAGCGGCAGCAACCAGCTCACGTGGAAAGGTAAGGAGGAAACGGATAAATACATTCGCAAGCTCCGCGTTGCCTCGCATCTCCTGACAGATGCCAACCGTCGACTGCACAAACTCCACCACGAAATCCAACTTTCCGTCGCCGAGCTCTTTCACATCGACTTGCACCAATCCTGGCAACGATGGTTCAGCAAGGTGCTCGCGATACGCGAAAAGATCGAAACAAGCGGGTTTCAGGATATGGATTCCTGGCGGGTGTATTGGGATATGCAGCTGTATAAGGTGTTGGAGGCGAAATATCAGTACGGCCTGGAGAGCCTGCATGAAACGATGGGGGAGATCAAGGCGGATATCATCTACGACGCCGATACCGGGCATGCCGCCCTCCGCCCATCGCTTTTATCGATTCGCCAGCAGTATTATCAGCGGATTAAAGATTTCGTCACCTTCCCGATTCGCTTTCAAGGCTGCAGTGGGTCAGTAATCTTCCAGGATATGCCCGCGCGAAACGAGCAGAGCATCTTCTCCGCGATGCAGCACGCCTCTCAGCTTTTTCGCAAACTCCAGGCGGAGCTGAAGCGCTTCTCGCCAATGCTGGTAATCGGCTGCTGCGGGAGGGCGGGGAATCCGACCTTGGAGGAGATCGTCGCCGGCACCCTCTCCGAGGTGCAGCACTGGGAGCAAGCGATCCGGCTGCTCAAGCAAAAAGGAAAAGAAATCAACAGCGAGGATCTTTTTATTAAGTGCGGCTGCATCACCCTTTGCACGGCAAGCATCAAAGGCGTCGTGGATGAGCACCTCTTCAAACTCACCGAGGTGCTCAAACAGACGCTGCGGCAAAGCGCGCAGAAGCATCTGGCGAACATCGAGAGCTACCTCGCGAAGGTTTCCCAGTTCCTCGACAGCAAACTCACGCAACTGGAGGAAATCGGGGAGGTGAACGTGCAATACGGCGTGCTTATTGAACAACGCCCCGCGAAGGAGGTGGAGTTTCATCACTTTTACAGTAAAAACGTGCTACTGCAGAACATGACCGGATCGGCCGGGATCAACTTCACCCAAACGAAGGAAATCTGGGATTCCTACATGCAGCGTCTGGACTCGCACGAGACGGAGGTGGAGGAGAAGATGAACGAACTGCGAAAGAACTTCACGGAGTCGATGAAAGCCTGGGAAAAAGATGTCGAGCGGCTCACGAATCGCTGGAAGGAAGTGAAACCGAAGGATATCAACATCAAGGACCCCCTCCTTATCCTCAATGAGAAGCGCGATGAGGTAAAGAAGCTGAAGGAGGCTGGGGAGAAGAGCACACGGTATTGCCAAGTTTTTTCACTCCCGGAGCCCGATCTGCAGGTGGTGGAGGAGTTGGCATCGGAGATCGAAGGCTACATCGCGGTTTGGGGTTTGTTGGTGCGGTTTCAAGAGGAATACCAGGCGCTTCGTCGGGAGCCGTGGATTAGTTTTCGCGCCAAAACCTACCGTTTTGAGGACTTCGTGAAGCATTGGCAAGAGGAGTTGCGTGCGGTTCAGGCGATTCCCGCCGTGATCAGCGTTCGCACGATGTTGGAGGAGTGGGCGCGATGCCTGCCGCTTCTCAAATACGTCCGGGGCGACGGTTTCACCCCTGCGCACTGGTCGGAGCTTTTCCACCTTCTAAAGTTGCGCAACGTCACGCAGGATACGGTGACTTTTGGGGATATTTTAGATCAACACGCGGGTATTTTGACGGAGGAAGGGACGCTGAAAAAACTCCACAGCCGCGCGCAAGGCGAGGCGCAGATCCGGGAGGCGCTCGACGATGTTCGCGCGTGGGGAACGGAATCGCGCTTCACCCTCACGCCTTACCCCGGCCGCCCGGGGCTCGTTTTAATCACGGAATGGAAAGCCCTCCTCGCGGTGCTGAGCGATCAACAAGCGCTCATTTTGAGCATGAAGGAATCCCCGTACTTTTCGATCTTCGCCAACGACGTGAATGTGTGGGAGGAGCGGCTGAGCATCTTAGGGGAGTACCTGCATTATATGAATCTGATTCAGAGGAAGTGGGTGTACCTGGAGCCAATCTTTCGACGTGGCGCGCTTCCGAATGAAAAGCAGCGGTTCGACCGCTTGGATGAGCAGTACGCGCAGATTATGAAGCAGATTGACAAGGATAGCCGGTTGATCTCCCTCGTTTCCCATAAAGAGTACAAAGGAATCCTGAGCACCGTGTTTGAGCAGCTAGAACGCTGTCAAAAGTCGCTGAACCAGTTTTTGGAAACCAAACGCGATGGCTTCCCGCGCTTTTATTTCATCAGCGATGATGACCTGCTTGAAATCCTCGCGCAGAGCAAAAATCCGGCGGTGATCCAATCCCATCTTCGGAAACTTTTCATGGGGATCTACAACGTGGATTTCGACTCCCAAAACGAGCACATTCTTCGTGTGAAGTCCCTCGAGGGAGAGGTGGTGCCGCTGACGACGCAGGTTCACGTAACGGATGAGGTCGAGGTCTGGCTTTCCGAGCTCGACAAGGAAATGAAATCAACTCTGAAGGCTTACTTGGTAAATTGCGTGCGGAAGATGGATATCGGTCTGCACGCCTCGCAAATCCTCTGCACCTCGGAAATGATCAATTTTACGCGAAAAACGGAAGAGGCCATCCGCGATAGCGACCCCGAGGCGCTTCAAAAGCACAAATCGACTTTGCAAACCCGGCTGCGCGAGCTAACCGCCTTCGCAGGGAGCAACACGGACCTCCTCATCGGCATCAAAGTCAAGGCCTTAGTCATGGATCTCATCCACAACATCGACGTCGTCGATCAGCTCCTCACGGAAAAGATCAGCAGACCTCAGGAGTGGATTTGGCGGAAGCAGCTGCGCTTTTATCTCGACGCCGGTGATTCTTGTGTGGTGCGGATGGTGGATACGGAGTTTAAGCACAGCTACGAATACCAAGGCAACCTCCCGAAGCTCGTTCACACCCCGCTGACGGATCGCTGCTATCTCACGCTTTTGCAAGGCATGCAGCTCGGCTATGGCGGGAATCCGTACGGCCCGGCGGGGACCGGCAAAACGGAATCCGTGAAGGCGCTCGGCAACCTTTTAGGGCGTCAGGTGCTTGTCTTCAACTGCGATGAAGGGATTGATTTTAAGTCGATGGGGCGCACCTTCATCGGATTGGTGAAGTGCGGCGCGTGGGGCTGCTTTGACGAGTTCAACCGCCTCAAAGTCGATCAGCTCTCCGAGATTTCGCAGATGATTCAGGTGATCCAAGAGGCCCTGAAAAACGGCGACCCCCGTTGCACCCTCCTCGAGCGCGAGATCGACGTGAATCCGAACGCGGGGATCTTCGTGACGTTGAACCCCGCGGGGAAGGGCTACGGCGGCCGCAGCAAACTCCCTGATAACCTCAAGCAGCTCTTCCGTTCGATCGCGATGAGCGTGCCCGATAACGAGCTGATCATTGAAACGATCCTCTTCAGTGAGGGCTTCGAACACGCGAAGGATTTGGCGAAGAAGACGGTGGAGATCTTCAGCCTCGCGAAACAGCTGCTTTCCCAGCAGCAGCACTACGATTGGGGGCTGCGCGCGATGAAATCGGTCCTGCGGCTCGGCGGCACCCTCATCCACGGCCTCCTCGTGCAGCGCGTTACCGGGAAGGTCGATCTGACCCCTGAGGAACTTCTCCTTCGCGAAAGTGAGATTATCATCAAGTCGTTGCGCGTGAACACCGTGGCGAAGCTGACCTTTGAGGATTCGATCCTCTTCCATCGTTTGGTGTCGGATATCTTCCCCGGGGTGGAGGTGCGCGAGCTCGATTACGGCGAACTCCGCCCGGCGATCGAGGAATCCCTGCGGGAGCTCAAACTCCAGCCCGTGGAGGCGCAGGTGCAGAGTATTTTACACCTGTACGAGACGCTTCAACAGCGGATGGGGGTGGTGTTGGTCGGCCCCAGTGGGAGCGGCAAAAGCACCCTCGTGAAGGTCCTCCGCCGCGCCCTGCAGCGGTTGGGGAGGGTCGTTCCGATGTACGTCGTGAACCCCAAGGCGATGGCGAAGGATCAGCTCCTCGGGCATATGGATCCGGATACGCGGGAGTGGTTCGACGGCGTCATCACCGCCGCGGCGAAGAAGATCGTGAAGGAGGACAAAGACGTCCATTCGTGGGTGTTTTGTGACGGGGATATCGATCCGGAGTGGGTGGAGTCGCTGAACTCCGTCCTCGATGATAACAAGCTCTTGACGATGCCGAATGGGGTCCGGGTGCAGTTCGGGAATAATGTCAATTTTATTTTCGAAACCCATAGCTTGGAGCACGCGTCGCCCGCGACGGTGTCCCGGATGGGAATTCTCTTCCTCTCGGAGGAAAACGTCGACCCCGGGGTCGTCGTCGCCTCGTGGCTGCTCGAGCAGCCGGAGGAGCGGCGCGACGACCTCGCGCGGTGGATCGCGGCGTACCTCCACCCCGCCGTGGAATCCCTCCTCCTCACCGACAAAATCGTCGTCGCGACGACGCGGACGGGGCTCGTGCGGTCCGCTTTAACGCAGCTGCAGGGTTGCACGAGCAAGGCGGCCGTCGCGCTCGCGTTGATCTACGGCCTCGGCTCCTACCTCTTCGACGAGCCCCGACGCGAATACGCGAAGGATGTGTTGAACCTCGTCGGCGAGCGCGCGCCGGATCCGAAGGCGCCGTTGGATTTCGAATTCGACCCCAACACCGGCGGCTACGCGGCGTTGCGTTTCGACCCCGCGTGGGATCGCACCGCGGAGGAGCTCCATCGCCATCCGATGGTGGAAACGGTGGATTGCCAGCGCGCGCTCGCCGTGATGCGGGCGTGGACGCGGCCGATTCGACAAAACGCCGGCAGCGGCGGCGGCAAAGGTGGGGTCTACGCGCCTTTTCTCCTCGTCGGCCCAGAAGGGTGTGGGAAGACGATGCTGCTGAGTAATCTGTTCGCCGGATGCAGCAACACGCGGGTCGCGGTGATCAACTGCTCCGCCCAGACGAGGGCGATTCACGTGATACAAAAACTGAAGCAAACCTGCCAGATGTTGAATGCGAGCCACGGAAAGGTATTGAGACCGGTGGAGGTGGAGCGGTTGGTGTTGCTTTTTAAGGATTTGAATCTGCCGAAGCCGGATAAATACGGGACGGTGCAGCTTCACTCCTTTTTGCAGCAGCTTATCCTTTATAGCGGCTTTTACGACTCCGATCTGGAGTGGGTGACCGTGGAGCGGATTCAAATTGTGGGAACGATGAACCCGCCCGGGAGTATGGGGCGGTATCCCGTCTCCACGCGTTTCCTTGCGATCAACTCCATTCTTTGCCTTTCGTATCCCTCGAAGGAATCCTTGAATATCATCTACACCGAATTCCTGAACGTCATGTTGAAGAGCGAGCGGTTGAAGCTAAACCTTCCGCCCAACAAAGGCGCCGCAGATGTCGCGCGGATCATGACGACGGTGTACGATATTATTAGCACCCGGTGTACGGTAGATATGGCCTCCCACTACATCTTCAACCCGCGCGATATCACGAAATGGGTGCTCAACCTTCCCAACTACTCCTCCGAGGATATCAGCGACGTTATTGGGTACGAGGGACGTCGAATTTTTGTCGATCGCCTCGTTACGAATGAAGAACGGACGAAACTCACGAAGTTGATTCGGGATAACCTCGCCTTCCTCTTCGGCCACGCGTCGGAGGGACAGCAAGCGGAGAAAGACGCGCTCTGCTTCGTTTCCTGGAATGATGGGGCCCCAATCGGGAAGCGAAAGCTCCTGCCCACCAGCGTGAACGAACTAAAGAAATTTCTCGAGGTAGCGCTCGTGAATTACTCGCGCGAGTATAGCGATTTAAACGTGCTGCTCATTCCGGAGGTGTGTGCGTGGATCGCGCGGGTGGATCGGGTGCTTTCGCAGGAGCGCGGAAACCTCCTCCTTGTCGGGCGCTCCGGCGTCGGCAGCGCGGAGATCGTTCGCGTCGTGGCGTACAACAACCGCACCGATTTGGTAAC